TTCCAGGAACTGAATTCTACCAACAACCAGTGAGCCTGGAAGAGGTCTCACGAGACTGAAACCCTGACTTAGATCTGGTGACTTCTGAATTATACTCTATTTCGATCCAGCAAAACCTGGAACAGAGGAGTTAGCTAATGCACGCTGGAGCCCTGACCCAGGGAAACTCTAAGATAATGTATGTGTTGCTTTAGGTTGCCATCTTCCACTCCTTTCCCAGGCCATTAGCAGGGAGCTGGATCAGAAGTGGAGCAGCAGAGACTTGAACAAGCTGGCGTCACAGGCAGAGGCTTAGCCCACTATGCTACAGCCCAGCCCCAGAAGGGAGGAAGAAAAGGAGGGATGTACCAGATCTGTGATGGTGGTTACCTCTGGGGAGGGGGGAAGGAAGTGGATCAGGTGCTAATCAAAAGGTTCTTTAGTCTGTAAATAAATATGACCACCAATACTGTCAGCTGTTATGCTGATTCTGCACATACAAGTAGAAAAAAGTCCCTGTACTTTTCTCTCTAGTTTTTCCATTCTTCACAAAACCCTCCAACTACAAAACTTCACTGTGTAATAGTCTATTGTAATGTTATGCTATAACATACTCAACCAGTCTCTAACTGTTCTAACACTGAGATATCAGCCACTATCATAAACGGTACCACATGAACATTTTTGTTGTACTGGTGGATATAAATTTATTTTCTTAGGGGCCGGCGCTGTGGTATAGTAAGTTAAGCCTCTGCCTGCACCTCTGGCACTAGCATCCCATATAGGTGCCAGTTCATGTCCCGGCTGTTCCTTTTCTGATCTAGCTCTCTACTAATGGCCTGGGAAAGCAGTGGAAGATGGCCCAAAGTGCTTGGGCCCCTGCACTTGTGTGGGAGAACCTGGAAGAAGCTCCTGGCTCCTGACTTTAGATCAGCCCATTTCTGGCTGTTTTGGCCATTTGGGGAGTGAACCAGTGGGTGGAAGACCTCTGTCTGTAACTCTACTTCTCAAATAGAAAATCTTTGTAAAAAATTAAATTTCTTTTCTTAAAATAAATTCCTAGAAACAAAATTGATAGGGAATTTGAAATCTTTATTATATTTTGCCTAACTGGCTCAGAAAGTTTTTTTTTTTTTTAAGATTTATTTTATTGGGGCTGGCGCTGTGGCATAGCAGATGAGGCTACTGCCTGCAGTGCCGGCATCCCATATGGGCACCAGTTTGAATCCTGGCTGCTCCACTTCCCCATCTGGCTCTCTGCTGTGGCCTGGGAAGGCAGTGGAGGATGGCCCAAGTCCTGGGGGCCCTGGCCTTGGATTGGTACAGCTCCGTCTGTTGTGGCCATCTGGAGAGTGAGCCAGTAGATAGAAGACCTCTTTCTCTCTCTGCCTCTCCTTCTCTGCGTAACTCTTTCAAATAAATAAATAAATAAATAATCTTTAACAAATATTTATTTTATTTATTTGAGAGAGTTACAGAGAGAGGGGTCTTCTATATGCTGGCTCACTCCCCAAGTGGCCAGGAAGGCTGGAGCTGAGCTGATCTGAAGCTAGGAGCCAGGAGTCTCTTCCGGGTCTCCCAAGTGGGTGCAGGAGCCCAAGGACTTGGGCCATCCTCTACTGCTTTCCCAGGTGCATTAGCAGGGAGCTGGGTTGGAAGTGAAGCAGCTGGGACTTGAACTGGTACCCATATGAGATGCCAGCGCTGCAGACCAGAGCTTTAACCCACTGCGCCACAGCACCAGCCCCAGAAAAGTTTTAACAATTTGCATACCTGTCACCACGCTATATTCCTATTTCCTTCTATTCTTGCCCATATAAATACTAAAACTCAAAAACTATATTCACCAAATTAGTGTGAGATGCAATCTAATTTTTCTCCCAAACTATTCGAGAATTTCAAACCATAATTACAGAGCAACTAATTATCTAATATCACACAGGTTTCACCACAAACTGGTATATAACATAAAACAACAGAAGATAAAATGTCATTTCCCCCCATTGTGTCTCTTTCGCCTATCTCCCACAACTACTTCAGGGAGAACGTATTTGCAGAACTGCTATTAATTTTAAGAATGGAAGATGACTCAGATATACTTACTTAAGAGTGATTGCTTCTTGGCTTTTTGACTAAGATCAAATGTATTTAAAATGGATATATTTTACTGAAATAGTTCACATTTTAAGAGATTTATTCATAAAGTAAGAGAATTTTTTAAAGTTTTCTATTTTGGAAAATGCAAAGGAAGGCCTTTCAACTTCATGGTCTAATTATACGAGTCTTCTTTAATTAGAATCTAAAAATACCTACTGATCACAGAATTTGGTCAGTGACAAATACCCTGAACTTCCATAGCTCTTACTAGATTAAATAACTCAGTTAACAATTACTGTTAATTAGTATTTACTCAGTACTTTGCTTTACTACAACACTGTAAAGGAAGACAAAATAATTATCATCACCATATGAACAAGTAGCTGAACCAGTTAGGCTACTTGTTTAAGGTCACAGTACAACAGGAATTTGCCATAATTAGACCCTGGAGTTTTTGTAGCTTAATTCCTGTAGGCCTCACCACTCAAAGTAACTACCTGTAACAATTATGACAACTCAGGAAGAAATCTAGAATGTACTCAAGCCAAAGAAACTTGTTATTGAAGATCATTTACTGCAACATCCTTATTTTACAGATAAGGAAACTGAGGCCACCAGAGATTATGGAATTGCTTAAAGTCATACTTCTAGGCACAGAGAAGCAAGAATTAGAAGCCAGCACTCCTCATTCCAAGTTCAATGAGCTTCGATAATAGAGTATTAACAGTTATCCTTGGTTGATACTGCAAAACTCTGGGTTCATCAAAAAGCCTTTATGTTTTCACTGACAATTACCAACATATCATGCATTCAACAAATTATCCAGTACTACTATGTGCCAGGCCCTGTACTTGATGCTAAATCTGACTGGATATTTACTATGTACTAGGCACTACCTCAACTGCATTTTCATACTTAATCATTACAATAATATTATAAAGCTAAGTATAATTATTTCTATTTTGAAGATTAAAATTTAGTAAAATTAGGTAATCTGTGCAGGTTCTTCAGTAAGGAAATACAATTATAAAAAGTAAATGGTGGGGCCGGCGCTGTGGTACAGTAGGTTAAAGTCCTGGCCTGCAGCATCAGCATCCTACTAAATAGGAGCCAGTTTGAGTCCTGGTTGCTCTACTTCCAATGCAGCTCCCTGTTAATGTGCCTGGGAAAGCAGTGGAGGATGGCCCAAGTTTTAGGGCCCCTGCACCCACATGCAAAACACAGAGGAAGCTCCTGGCTTCAGATTGGCTCAGCTCTGGCTTTTGCGACCTTTTGGGGAGTGAATCAGCAGATGGAAAAATCTCTCTGCCTCTGCCTCTCTGTAACTCTGGCTTTCAAATAAATAAAATAAATCTTAAAAATAAAAAAGTAAATGGTATAAACAAACAAAATCATTTTATCATTATATGTATTACAACTCCATGTATGGTTTCATTTGAAAAAGATCTAAAGTCAAAAATGTCTGATGCTTGGGGAGATTGTGGTACAGTGGGTTAAGTTGCTACTTGGGATACTTGCATCCCATATAGTATGTCTGGTTTAAGTCCCAGCTATTTGGCTTCCATTTCAGCTTCCTGATTTTAATGCACACCCTGGGAGGCAGCAAAGGATAACCCAAGTACTTGAGTCTCTGCCACTCACATGGGAGACCTGGATTGAGTTCTGGGCTTGTGGCTTTGGCCTGGTCCAGCCCCAGCTGTTGTAGACATTTGGGAATTGAACCAGTGATGGAAAATCTCTTTTTTGCTGTTTTTCAAATTAAAAAAAAAAAAAAAAAAAAAGGTTTAATCCCCATATAGCACCCAACACTGATCATATAGTAAATACAGAACTTGGCATGAGATTAGATGCTGGATGCCCCTTGTGGAAGGCTTTAAATATCCTATTAAAAACATTTATTTATTTGAAAGGCAGACTGACAAAGAGAAATGAAGAAAGAGAGATGAGACACACAGAGAGAGAGATCAATTTTCCATCTGTTGGTTCACTCCCCAAATGCTCAAGACAGCCAAGGCTGGGCCAGGCCAAAGCTAGGAGCCCAACTACTTGGGCCATCCTCTGATGCTTTCCTGCGCACAATAGCAAGTAGCTGGATTGGAGGCAGACCACCTGGGGCTTGAACAGGCATTCCCATATGGATGTTGGCATTGTTGTACCACAACGGCAGCCCAAAATATCCTTTTTTTCCCCCTTGTACTTCCCAAGATCCCAGAATTTCCAACATTTAAGTAGTTTGAAAGCCAAAAGCCAGGAAATGGTTATTTTAAGTAAATGGTAGACAAGAGGAAGGACTTGTCCTATCCAGTGAGTTTTGGCTTGAAGTTTATCAAATAAGGTCCAAAGTAGAAGAATGCCTGGGTTCCTTTAAGTATCCTTTCCAAAGCAGTACTGTTATACAGGTTACCCACTTTCAGAGCACTAAAATCTCTGTAGTATACGATCAAATTAATTAAAAGTTTCATTTACCATCTTTCCCAGTAGGAATCCCTTTACCTGTGATTGCGAAGTAGATTTCACAAGACCTTTATCAAAAACCCAAGTGCTAAGAAGCAGTGTGACTATTACAGAGATTATAATGAATTCTGTAAATAAATACAAATATAATGACATTTTTAAAAGTAGCAATCTCTCTAGGGCCAACATACAAGGAGAGGGGAACAATGAAACACAGCTGAAAAGTACAAAAATTTTTTTCAGGGGAAGAATTACTTTACGAAGTGGCCTACTGCTTTGGGAAATATTGGTAGAGAAAAACTAAATCAAGTAATCATTAAAAAATAAGATTTTGCCTTCCTCTACCTTACAGACGTTGTATTCTGGCCATAATTCTGTTGATTTAAATAAAAGACTGAAAAAAATAGCACCCTGGTAACTAACCAATCCCAGAGTGAACCACATGCATGATTTCTAATGTAGATTGTTACCTGAGAAGTTTGTCAGAAGTCTTGCTAGGGCATGCGTGTTTACCACTTCAGTCTTGCTAAGGCTGGAAATATTATCTACCCTACTAGCTTCTTTGTTAATCGTAGGCTTTTTAGAAATCCCAAGATCAGATTCAGTTTTGACGTCTGTGTGTGCTGGGATGTCACGGGATCTCTGTGGCCAAGATTCTGGAGCAAAAGCTTGCTTGAGTGTCTCTTCAGAAGGAGATTCTACTCCATTCTGTGCAGAATCTGACTTCTCAACCTGTCTTTCACCTAATTCTTTAAGGGCTCTGATTGTGAGCTGCTCCTGTTCTAAGTCAAGAGATGCCACTGGAATAGTTTGGGTAGGAAAAACATCCAGAAGCTCACTGCCATTTGTTCCTTTGCTTGGCTCACTGTATTTGCTTTTAATGTCTTTAATTTCAGAACCACCACACTCACTTTCATGTAAGGCTTCTGTGGGCAGAGCTGTTTTAAAGTCTATTATCTTCTGTGATGCTGCTTCAAAGGCATTTCTTTCTCCTTTATCTACTGTTCCTTTCTCTCTGGTTTCTGTAAAGGCTGTGATCAGATCCTCTGGGGAGGAATCATCTATGTCTTTAACATCTTTTCCGAATAATGAGTCCAAAGAAGCAGAATTTGTCACCTCTGTTTCATTAAGAACAATTGGAGATGCTGTGGAAGGAAGTTTCGGGTTCTCAGTTGTAACAGGCTTTTCAGGAGCACCTTTGCTGATGCTTTCTGAATGCGTCCCACCTTCTGGCAGGGCATTCACATCAGGTACTTGTGAACACACCACCTCACCAACAGGACTTCTGCCAAGAATACCAGGCTGACCTTGATGTGGCTCAGAGTCACTGACCCACTCTTCAAAGTTCTCAGGTATTTTCTTTTCCCTCTTAGAACTGGGAACTGCTTTGATTTCTCTTTGACTTGTTTTCACAACAGCACTTGGCATGGAAACAGGATTTTCAGCCTGAATTTTGTTATTTTCCAGTGGTGTATCTACTGTGATATCCTCTATTACCGTGTCATCAGACTCACCAGAACTGTCCGCCTCTGCGATTTCTCCCAACACAGAGCTCTGCCAGCCCACTTCATCTTTCAGGTGGTCATCAGGCAGAGCCACTTTCATCGTGGCCACTCCAGAACCCAGGGAGACACATTTCTCAAATGGAGATCGCGGCAACTCTGAAGGTGTGCCACCTTGTTTCTGCACACTGCCTTGCACATCTTTCATACTGACGTCCTCTGTGGAACTGAGGTGGTCTGGTATAGGTTTTTCAACAATGGTATTTTTTTGTGGGAATGATGCTTCTGCCCAGTCACCTATTGATTTCGTGATGGATGTGCTCCCATTGATAGAACACACGGGAATTTTCTGGTGAACGTTAGTTTTAAGATTTACAACTGGAATTTCTGGATGATATTCGTTCACATCTGGTCCTGTAGTTTTTGTGATGTTGTCAGAAGATTTATCAGCCTGCTGTCTGACTTGGGTAACCAAATCCCAAGTCAATACTTCATTAGTAAAGTTATGCATATCATTCACACATCGAGAAACCTCTTCCAGTGCTGCAGTTGTATGTGAAAACTGTCTAGTGAGCAACGCAGAGGCTGGGTAACGCCCTGCCTCTTTATTTCTCAGTGGAAATACTTTGTCATTGCTCTCCAAGCTGTCTGCAGATGATTCTCCATCAGTGTGCGCTGCCCACCTACCAAACTCCTTCATGCTCTCCTTGTAGGAGTCTTTAAATTCTTTGTCGAATGCTGCTTTGTCAATAATCACTTCAAATGGTGACTCAGGGGAATCCTTTTCTGTATTGCTACCTCCTGAAACCTCAGATGGGGACAAGGAATCCGTACAAATGCCTTCTGCCTTACACTGCTCAGGGGGTGGTTTCTGCGCTGTAAGCAAAGTAAACCTGCCACCAGCACCCGATTCAGTTTGCTTCTTCCCAGTCGGTGCCTCCTTTGCGTCCTCAGACTCTTGATCTCTATTTACTTGCTCTTCCACTTGGCCGGTTTTCTTTGAGAGAGGAGCAGGATGTTCTGGGAAACTGACTGGACTGGAAGGACTGTCACAAGGCGCAGCAGTGGAGTCTGCTCTGTCACTGCTGGTCCCCTGAGGCTTTTCCACCGCTTTCAGATCGAGAAGAGCCAAGTGATCCTTTCCTTCTTGGGCTAAAACAGGATGGCTGCCTAACACTTTGCCTTTTTCTCCATGTAGTGCTGTAAGATCAGTGTTACATATTTCAGAAGATGAAATAAATGAGGAATTCATAATTTCTGAAGGTGGCTCATCAGAGCAAAGAGAGCGCAATCCCTCTGGTCAGAATTTGAAAGAAAAACATTTGTTTACCAGGTAGAGTTACACATTAGCTAGTCAGGCCAAGCAGCATGCTTTTGACTTTTACATTATATAATATATATATATATATATACACACACACACAGGATGTATACACACACAAATATGTAACAGAACAGTAATCAACAAGACATGCATAAAATTGCTACTGGTGAAACAGAAAAGCTGTATCATGCTACCAACTGCAAATGACAAAAATTTTCATGACAAATAATTTTAATCAGTTTGCTTTTTCCACTGCAAATGTAAAGCATAAAGAAGGGTACTGGCATTGGGACACTTGGGGAAGTTCTTAAGATCTTTTTCTTTTGGTTAACAGAAGCAACATAATCCATATAAAACAAACAACCTGATTCTATAAAGCACTGATAAACTTTTATCTGCAAGCTGAACAATGCAGAACATACTGCCTCCATAACCCACTGTTCTACAGCCTCACAATCTGAGGAGGAAAAAAGTAGCCAGAGTTCTCTGTGATCTTCAGGAGCCAGAAAATGAGTCTAGAATTATTCTATTCTACTCACAAGAGATCTGTCCCTCGTACAAATGGTCTCAATGTTCTAAACTAAAAGGTAGCAAAAAGGCTGGCTCAATCCAAAATCTCTTGTACTAACTTGTCATTTTAATCAAAATTAAATCATGCAAATTATATTTTGGTTAAGACAAGTCAGTCCCAGAATTCATCTTAAAACAGAAAATAATCCTTCCAAGAGTAATGCATTAATTAGATCTTCTGTTATTAATATCACAATATCCACTAATTCACCATACTGTTTCCTAGCTTTCCAATCTAGCAAGTTTTTATGGGGAAAAATGTCGTTGTTTAATTCTAGAGCTAGAACAAAGCAGGTCTTAAATAAATAGTTCCACATAAACTAATCAGAGATTTAGTATGATCAGGTGAGATCTAAATAAACTCAGGCTAGCAACATCTTGAGAACGAATGAGTGACTGGGAAGATACGAAAGAGAAATAAATTCCCCTGAGATTACCTTTATTCAGCTTATATCCTCTTCTAATAGTGTCTTTAAAATAGTATAATTGCAGGGCCGGCGCTGTGGCACAGTAGGTTAAAGCCCTGGCCTGAAATGCCAGCATCCCATATAGGCACTGGTTCGAGACCTGGCTGCTGTACTTCCGGTCAAGCTCTCTGCTATGGCCTGGGAAAGCAGTAGAAGATGGCCCAAGTCCTTGGGCCCCTGTACCCATGTGGGGGACCCAGAAGAAGCTCCTGGCTTAGGCATGGCGCAGCTCTGGCAGTTGAGGCCATTTGGGGAGTGAAACAGTGGATGGAAGACCTCTCTCACTCTCTGCCTCTCCTCTCTCTGTGTAGCTCTTTCAAATAAAATAATAAATAAATCTTTTAAAAATAAATAAAATAGTATAATTACAATCTTGGTGTTAGAGAAAAAAATAATTTGGGGGAGACACCTGGCATAGTGATTAAGATGCTGTTTGGGATGTTAGTATCCTACATGGAAATGCCTGGTTTGGAGACCCAGCACTGCTTCCAATTCCAGCTTCCTGCTAATGCAGGCCTTGGGATATGGCAGGTGACTGCTCAAAGTAGCTGTATCCCTGTCATCCATGTGGGAGACCCGGACAAAATTTCCAGATGCCAGCTTTGGTTCCGCTCCAGCTACTGCGGGCATCTGTGAAATGAACCACTAGATGGGAGGTATGCTTCTCTCTCTGCCTTGTAAACAAACAAATAAAAATTTTTAAAAAGTACTATTGGCTACATTTAAAAAAGAAATAGTCTACAATCTGAGCTCTGCATTGTTAATCAACTTACTAGTTATTGTTTCTACCAGACAACATTCAATGGCCTATAAACCGGCATTAAGGACAATCTGTTTGGGCAGAATACCTCCTTCAAACAGGAATGGAACTCTGAGGTGAACAAAATGGACTCCACCCCATAGGGAAGGCTCAGCTTGTAAATTTTACAGAGTGGGCATTGGCACCACATTTAAGATGCTTCTTGGGATAGCTGCATGCCCTATCAGAATGCCTGGGTTGGAGTCCTGGCTCTGTTTCTGATCCAGCTTCCTGCGAATGCACACTGCAGGAAGCAGCAGATGACAGCTCAAGTTCTTGACTCCCTGCCATCCATGTGAAAGATGCAGGTGCAGTTCCTGGCTTTTGGCCTTTGCCTGGCCCAGCCCCTGCTGTTGTAGGCATTTGAGGAGTGAACCAGTGGGTGGAAGAGCTGTTTGTCTCTCTCTCTCTGCCTTTCAGATAAGTAAAAATAAAACTTTTTTACTAAGAAAGTTTTATAGAGATGGAGATTTCACATGGGATTCAGAACTGTCATTTTACAGACAAAAGTCAACAAAATGAATTAGTAATAAGTCAACAAATATTTACTATCACAATGTGCCAGAAACTGTGTTTAAAACAGTGAACAGGGGCCAGCATTGTGGCACAGTGGTCCTGGCTGCTCCACTTCCATCCAGCTCTCTTCGGTGGCCTGGGAAAGCAGTGAAGAGGCCCAAGTGAGGCCTCCCGTGAGGGAGACCCGGAAGAAGCTCCTGGCTTCAGATCGGCACAGCTCTGGCCATTGCGGCCATCTGGAGAGTGAACCAGCAGATGGAAGGACTTGGGCCATCTTTTACTGCTTTCCTATGCCATAGCAGAGAGCTGGATCGGAAGTGGAACAGCCGAGACTAGAACCAGCGCCCTTATGGGATGCTGGCACTGCAGGTGGCAGCTTTACCTGCTACGCCACAGTGCTGGCCCCAAATTCAATAAATAAATCTTAAAAAAAAAAAAACCAAAAAACAAACCCAAAACCTAGATTAGAATTTCTATTATCAGAACAGCAACAGGTCCTCTACTGAGCATCAAGATTCTCTGACAGACTTCAAACATTTTGTTAAAGATTCTTTAAAAAAAGATGTAACTATTATATATGCAAAAATAACTGTAATCATGCTCCTGAATCCTACTTTTGTTGAGTTACTAATTGGGGTGGGTCATTTCTGGGGGCAAGCTTGGAGGGTGGACAGCTGATGCTGCGTGCTCCCTCAGTGACTACTGACATGCAAGTGAAAGCTCTCATGACTGTCAATCAAGCTTTCCGCACACGTATTTGACAAGGCAGCATCTTCTTCAGTACTTTAATTTTAAATATTCAGAATTTCAGCAAATGAAAAGATGACTAGCTGAAATCTAAACAAACTTAAACAGAGTGAACTTGTGCCAAAACAATGGGAAAAGTTGGGCTGGAAATAAAACAATTAAAAAGGCATGAAAACATTAAACAGAGCAAAGACCAGGATCTAATAAGCCTTTTAGAATAGTCTCCATAAGCACAGACTCTTCCAATTGTCAGGATGGCACTTAATGGCCACTTGTCCAAGTCAGTACCTGGAAAATGGCAGAAGCCTCTAGGGAACCTGAGGGTTGTTATATACTATAAAATTAACCTGGATTATTTCATGTCTTGGAAAACACCTACCACCTTGCCTTTTTCAAACGATTCACTTCTCTTTTACCTGTACACCAGCTGACTTCCAACATTATTCAAAACAAATTCTCATCAAAAGACCTCATTATGGGTCCAGCTGTTTGGCCTAGCAATTATGACCCTGGTTACGATGCTCATTTCCCATAGCTGAATGCCTGGCTTCAACCTACAGCTCCACTCCTGACTCATTTCCTGCTAATGGAGCCCTTGGAAGGTAGTAGCAATGGTTCAAGTGACTGGGTTTCTGCCACCAGCAAGAGAGACCAATCAAGTTTCTCGCTCTCCTGGCTCTGACCCTGGCCCTGGCCCAGCCCCAGCCATTGTGGGCATCTGGGGATGAACCGATGGATGAAAGCATGTGCAAGCTCTCTGTGCTCCTCAAACAAAATGTCTTTTTAAAATTTTTTATTTGATTTTTATTTATTTGACAGAGTTAGACAGAGAGAGAGAGAGAAAAAAAAAGGTCTTCCTTCCGTTGGTTCACCCCCCAAATGGTCGCTATAGCCGGAGCTATGCTGATCCGAAGCCAAGAGCCAGGTGCTTCTTCCTGGTCTCCCACGCAGTTGCAGGCACCCAAGCACTTGGGCCATCCTCCACTGCCTTCCCAGGCCACAACAGAGAGCTGGACTGGAAGAGGAGCAACCAGGACTAGAACTGGTGCCCATATGGGATGCCGGCGCTGCAGGTGGAGGATTAACCAAGTGAGCCATGGCACTGACCCCACAAAATGTCTTTTAAAAATCCTCACTCCTGGGGCCAGTGCTGTGGCATAAAGGGTAAAGCTGCTGCCTGTGACACTGGCATCCTACATGGACACTGGTTCATGTCCCAGCTGTTCCACTTTTGATCCAGCTCCCTGTTGATGACCTGGGAAAAGCAGCGGAAGATGGTCCAAGTGTTTGGGCCTATGTCACCCACCTATGTCACCCACGAGAGAGACCCAGATGAACCTCATGGCTTTGGCCTGGCCCAGTGTTGGCCATCATGGCCAACTGGGGAATGAATCAGCAGATGGAAGATCTCTCTCTGCAACTCTTTCAAATAAATTAAACAAACAAACAAACAAACAAAAACTCCTCCCTTAAGAGTTTTAAACCCATTCCCTCCTATCATTTACAAATAAAGGAATTTAAAGAGCTTTAATCTATTTCAAAATTTTGGGTGATACAACTTCTGAATCAGTTGGTTATCAACCAAATACTGTTAGGTTCCATATGGCGAAGACACTGAAGACAATGTATGAGAAATTGTAAGCCAATGTTAGAAGATAAAAGTTTTCCTGAACAAAGGTTTTAGCAAATGATCTTCACCACCAGCAAGATCAAAGCATATCCTGGTTCAATGAATGACTTAGTTGAACAATTTAACAGCCTAGCACAAAAATACCCGTTGGCATAACCTTTTACAATTCTTTTCAAGCTAAAGAGCAACTGCTTGTATTTTATGGGCTTTATCTCTGATCTTTTAATTCAGAATTTCTCAAGGAGGACACAGCTCAGGAATCTGTATTACAAGCTTCCCAGGCGATGAGCCTAATTTGAGAATCACAACTTCACTGTATATGATTAGTTTTAGAAGAGCAGAAAGATTAGAGATGTATTTCAGAATTCTAGTCTTATAAAACTCTCACAGAAGACAGCCACTCATAGTCATTCTTCACCACAAATGAACCTGCTCGGGAGCACAGCGTTCACGCAGCAGTGAAGGAACAGGAGTGGTCCTGCTATGTACTTTTAAATATTTCTCTATTCTAATTTTAAAATACAGCAACCCTAAATTTTGATTGGAACAAGGCAAAAGCTCCATTTGAACAGAAAATCTGATATGGGAATTGAGCAAGAATTTTCTCTCCTCTATACCCAGAGTATTTTATCTTGCAGAGTAAGAAGGGGAGTTAAAAATGAAAAAAAAAAATTTTTGAAGTAAATTCTATGCATATATCAAGTATACATTTGAATTGAAAAAAAAAAAAAAACCCTTCACACACAAGGGGACTTGAAAAAGTTAAAAGAAAATGGAATTAAAAGATGGTTTATTTTGGCAGAAAAAAATATTGAAATCTATAATGTAGGTATTTTCTTTTTTTAAAGAATATTTACTTATTTGAAAAGAGTGACAGAAACACAGGGAGGGAAGACAGAAGGGCTGGGGGGTGGGGGCAGACAGATAGATGGACAGAGATTTCCCATCAGCTGGTCCACTTCCCAAATGCACACAATAGCCAGGGCTGGGCCAGGCCAAAGCCAGGAGCCAGAAACTCAATCTGGGTCTCCCTTGTGGGTGTCAGGGACTCAACCACTTGGGCCATCACCTGTTGCCTCCCAGGGTGCGCATTAGCAGGAACAGGAAGCAGAGCTGAAACTGAGACCCAGGTACTTGGATATGGGGTAGGGGTATCAAGTGGCATATTAATTTTAATAAAAAAAAATACTTGCTAACAAAGAAAAACTATACACGTCAATGAAGAAAGGGTGCCAACTTGTAGAAGCCATTGTTACACTGCCACATACATACACTATGCATATTCACATGAAGGAAGCTTGAAATATTCAGGCATAGGTTCTCCTACACTTGAATTTTCTTAGGTTCACAAAACAAGAAGGAAAGACAAACTACAGTGCAAAACAGTATCAGCAACTTTCAGCCACAGCCTCAAAATAGGAAGTTAGCCAGCAAACACTAGCAGCCAAGCTGGATTCTCAACAAAAAGTCTCTTTTGTACAAAGAAAAATGTTTTTCTTTTGTCTTTTTTAAAAAAAGGCTGTAACTGGCAAATTATTTTCCTCAATGCTTGTCCCAAAGTTCCGTGTTCTAACTTCCTATTCCAGATGCCTAAGCAGCCAATTGAATGCCAGCACTCATTAATGCAATGTGCTTCCAATTCTGCATGGTGGATGGCTTCTCTTTCCAATCTTATTTTCACCTATTTTTCTTAATATGTTTTCTAAAGAAAAAGTCTTCCAGCCTCTACTCTTACCAAAGGTTTCAAAATAGAAACCAAATTCAGTTTGATTTTGTATTTGATGGAGGGAGCACATCCCCAGATGATGCTAATTTCTATCACTAATAGCAATGATAGAGTTAAAACATCTGCTCTCATGGTTTTAACAACTTCAAAATGACATCTCTAAAAATGTCTCTAAACCCTCACACAGCTAGTTTACTTGATCTTTATTATAAGTGCAGTGGTTATGAGCAGAATCTGGAGTCTTCAGTCTGTCTTTCACTCACTATATGACATTGAGCGAGTTATTTCACCATTTAAACCTCAGTTTCTTCAACTAGTAAAAGATTAGCACTTTTCCTCCCTAGAACTGGCTGAGGTTTTCATGAGATGACCACATAAAGTACTGAGCACAGTAAAAGCTCAATAAAAATTAGCCACATACTACATCTATACCTCTTTTGTACCTTTATGTCTTTATTATAAAGTATAGGAAAATAGCATTATAATTTATTTCCTTATTTTGAAACTCTCCAAGAGTAGGCTGAAATTTAATTCTGCGTGATGGAAAAAAAAAATCCATAAGCAAAAGACTTCCAGTTCCTACTTAGTACAATTTATTCAAGAAGGAACTGATTATTCCATTGACATTCTAGCTACAAATCTATTCATATCACAAAGATTAACTTACTATTGTTATGTAGCTGTGTTAGAGTAGTACAGTTTAGTACAATTTATTTTTGAAAAATTTAACTGCCCTTTACTGGTCTAAATTCATGACATTTTTGGTATCTGCATCTCCCTAAAACCATATATATATATATATATATATAAATTAAAAATACAAGTCATTCTTAAATTTAAAAATGTCCTATTTAATCATTAATACATATCACTTAATATGGTTTGAATATATTTTTAAAAAAGGCATGATTCCCTCAAGGCTAGATGGCAAAGGGATATGGAAGCCAGAGAGATCATTTGGGTTCATGCCAGTGATAGACTCAAGGTGTATGCAGAAAATGCTACTACCAGAGGCTGTGTTGGAATACTCTCAGGGATATGGTTTTTTAAAACAGCCTCTTAGAGCAACAATGTCCTGAATGTACATTGGTCAAAATTTTTGCAAGCAAAAAGGAAGAATGGCAAATGTGTGCTATTTTACAAATGCTAGTAGCCTATTAAAACATTAGTTTTAATTTAATTCGTTTTAAGAAAAATCCTTTCTATTCACCTCCACTCTTCTGGAGTTTATGTGTAATTTTTGCTACTAGGGATTAAAATAATCGTGAAAGCATCCAACATTTCATACATTAGGTATGCTGAGCATGACTGCTATTTAGGATAGTGACACTCTCTTTTCTGCAGGAAGTAAGTTGAAGCCGAATGTATTTTTAAAAATCGGAAATATTTACAATAGAGGAAATATAATGATTCCTTATTTAAGTTATATTTTTCTTCCAGAGCAGGATAATACCTGTTTGCCTATTATTATTAAATTTCTCATGAGGAAAAAAGGGGACACTTAAAAATATAAATCTGGTAGGATTCCATATGTCAAGAATAGAAATGTTTTATATATTTGAGTGACTATGTAACATTCAAAAATTTCTATCTTTTAACATAAACATATTGATTTCAAAGGTCATGATTAGAATGCAGGATATCTAAATTCATATAAGGTATATGATGAAGGAGTTGAGGGCTCTAATGTCACTAAATTAAAATTATTGAATTGTTACTACATTTATTTTAGGTTTTTATTCTTACAAGGTTTTATGTTAGGTTTTTATTCTTGTAAGGTCAAAGTCTAAGAAACTAGCATCCAGACTTTGTAGCCAGAGAATCCCATCTGAGAACGAAAGCTGTCTGCATAGGAACTCTCTGATCTATAGCTAGTGATTTAAACTACTCTTCTTTTTTTTAAATAGGAGTTTTCCACTGACCTATATTTGAGGCTTAGTACAATAGCACAAATTAGGTAGCACTTTATTAGTAGCATAAATCAAGGAAGCACATAGTGCTTTCTTAGGTTCTGGCAGTGCTACCTCGACAAACTCCAATTCCTTTCCCCACTGGTTGACACACAAAGAACACAAAGCCACAACCTAATCTCTAGGACAAGAAACCTTACTTGTCCCAAAGTCAACTGACTTGTTCAGTGTTCTTAGGCAATTTGGAACTAGCCTGGCTCTTTGGAAATACCTCAGATAAGTTCACATTAAAATGCTTTAGGGTAGGTTAGTATTTTTGCAGTTCAGTGGAAGCACACTTTTTAATTTTTTTTTTTTCCCTAAAGCCACACTAAACCAGTTACATAAGTGCAAATCAATAAATGTATTCTGGGTGTGGGGAGTTTTCTGAGCGACAAAATCTATCTGTCCCAAATTCTGTGGGCATTTTAAATTTTAAAGAAATATTTAAAACTATACCTAATGTTTATGCTATGTTAAACAGTCCACTTAGCCTCATTCTATTTCATTACCCTTTACAGGAAATTCATTGGAAACTGCTAAACAGAAACGACTGGCTTGCAACCAGTTTTTATTTTAAGGGACTTGAGGGAGTGGGCAATAGAAGACTTGTGCCTCCTATCCCCAGTTACAGCCTCTTTCTCAACATTTTTCTTTTATTAATGTGCAAAAAAAAAAAAAAAGTTACAGACTTGCCTTGTGAGGTCGAAAATAGAGATACAGGCTGAGAGGAAGAGGAAGAAACAAAGGAATCTGAAAGAAAATATACAGCATGAGAATGTGACAACCTCACAAGAATTCTAAAGTTAGCTTTCGGGGGCTGGAGCCAAGTATCATAATTTCTTTGGGTTTAGCAAGTGGGAAAACCCAAATCTTTGTTTTCAATTATTTTCACTCACCTTATTTCATTTTCAAAACTTGACTTTTGGGCAGCAAAACCTTATTTCATTTTCAAAATCCATTTCTAAAATTTAAAATCAATTTTTTTAGTCAAATATTCTCACCTTAAAAGTAAAAAAAGAGGAAATTTCAGTCTTTTATAACCACCATAAATCTCAAGAACTGATGGTGCTCCTCTGCTAGTCTGTGTACAAATTGGTATCTGCTGCGCACCATTTCAAACCGCATCCCTGAGGAGTCAGTCACTGACACCAGCATTTAGAACTATCTAATTGGCAAAAATGCAAAGTTGAGCCTGAACATTAAAAACAAAACAAAACAAAACAAAAACACAGCCCCCTTGTAAGACCACATGAAAATGCTTTCATCTTCTAAAATTACCCTCCTCTAATTTGGCAACATATATTAACATTTTAAACACAGAAAATCTCCCCCTTTGGCCCTACACACATGCTCTTTTCCTCAGAAGTTATATTTCTAGGAAGTTATCCTACATACAAATTTGCATTCATGTACAAAAATGTGTATGGGGACCAGTGTTGTGGTGCAGTGGGTAAAGCCACTGCCTACGACAGCAGCATTTCATAAGGTGCTGGTTCAAGCCCCAGCTGTTCCATTTCCAATCTGGCTCTCTGCTAATAAGCCTGAGAAAGCAGCAGAAGATGGCTCAAGAGTTTAGGCCCCTGCACCCACATGAGAGGCCTGGAAGAAGCTCCTGGCTCCTGACTTTGGCCTGGCTTAGCCCTGGCCAATGGGGCCATCCAGGGAGAGAATAGGTGGATGGAAGATTTCTCTTTCTCTCTCTGTAACTCTGACTTTCAAATAAATAAATCTTTAAAAAAGAGACAGAGAAAAAGACATGTATAACAGAATAGTCAAAAGCACACTGGCTGAATGAACTAGGAATCATCTAAATAACCACCAGTAGAAGACTAGTTAAAAAGTTACATCCAAGCAATGATATATGTGTTTTTGCTGCCATGAGAAAAACACGCGGTTCCGATGTGTTGCTGTGCCCCACATGTTAAATTTAAAAAGCAAAGTGCACAAGTGCTTTCAGTGACCCCATTTGTCAAATGGCAACAGAAGGGCTTAGGAGGGGGACAGTGAGGTCTGGGGTGGGAGGGAGATTTGCTTTTCACTATAAGCTTTGACCTTTAGAAAACAACCTGAATATGAATGGCTTTTTCAATAAAAATGGTGAAAAAAATGAGTGAAAATGGGCATGCAAAAAACCTAAATTTCCAAAAATTCCCTTAAATATAACAAACTTTACAGATTAGCTTTTTGTCTTGCAACAAATGTTTTCATAAATAACAGGAATACACTTAAAAGTAGAAGAATGGTCTAAAGCACTGAGCCACACTGTATTTGTGAGTACTAAATCGAGAAAGTTCTGCAGTAACCAACAGCATATTAACACAAAGGCAGGATCTGGTGGGTAGCAGGCACTAACTAACTCAAAACCAGAACTCTAAAAATGTTTTTAAAAATTATTTTAAAACAAAGCATCACATTTACTTCTACAAAATAAAAAAGTTCTTTCCTTTTTAAAAGGAAGCAGGTTTACCTATCTCTTTAAAAGTTTTCAGATGAGTTTATGTCTATATGCATTTACCATCAACATTAAATCTCTGCCAAACGATGAGTTTAAATCTCAGCAAACCTGAAAAGCCAAATACTTAAGTTCAACGCCAAAAAAGATCAGATGACCTTGCCAGCTGTCTGCTGTTCTACCTCCACCTAACATCCGCTCCCACTGGAAAATTTCAACATGCAATTTGAATAGCATCTGTTCTGATACAGAACACAGATAAATGCTAATAGTTTGCAACAAAATTACATGAGGTTTCTAACTTACAAAACCATACTGCAGGGACCTGGTACTGTGGGCAGTGGGTAAAGCTGCTGCCAGCTTCTCATATGGGTGCCAGTTCAAGTCCCCTCTGTTTCACTTTTGATCCAGCTCTCTGCTATGGCCTGGGAAAGCAGTGGAAAATGACCCAAGTGGTAGGGTCCCTGCACCAGAGTGGGAGACCTGGAAGAAGCTCCTGGCTCCCGGCTTTGGAATGGCTCAGCTCCATCCATTGCGGCCATATGGGGAGTGAACCAGCGGATGGAAGACTTCTCTCTTTCTCTCCCTCTCTCTGTCTATAACTCTACCTCTCAAATAAATAAAATAAAATCTTTGGGGCTAGCGCTGTGGTGTAGTGGGTAAAGCTGCCGCCTACACTGTATGCTGGCATCCCATATGGATGTTGGTTTGAGTCCCGGCTGCTCCACTTCTGCTCCAACTCTGCTATGGCCTGGGAAAGCAGTGGAAAATGACCCAAGTCCTTAGGCCCCTGCACCAACATGGGAGACCTGGAAGAAGCTCCTGGCTCCTGGCTTCGGATTGGTGCGGCTCCAGCTGTTGTGGCCAATTGGGAAGTGAACCAGCGGATGGAAGACCTCTCTCTCTCTTTCTGTCTCTCCTTTCTCTACCTCTACCTCTCCTTCTCTCTGTGTAACTCCCACTTTCAAATAAATAAATACAAACCTTAAAAAAAAATAAAATCTTATAAAACCCCCACACCATATTGTATGCATGTTCCCTATTTATGCTACAGGGAGTAGAACCCCAGAATGGTGGTCTGAATCCACAAAGGCTATTCATAATGTTCTTTACATAGCTAGGTCACACTGTGTTAGCACTAGAAATTCAGTGTCCACAAGTAGCTGAAAAAGAAATACAAACCAGTAAAGCCATACGAGTTACGACAATGTAGCAGAGGCAGCCCCTAGGGTAAACTGAAAATGCTTTGAAAGAGATGGTAAGCTCGGTCTTGAAGGATGTTCATCAGGTGAACAAGGCAGTGGAAGGTGTTCTGGAGTGAAGGAACAACCGGCCAGATTCTAAAGGACTTTAAATGTTATCTAATGCCAGCGCTGTGGCACAGTGGGTTAAAGCCCTACTCTGCAGTCCAGTATCCCACATGGGTGCTGGTTCAAGCCCCAGCTGACTCCACTTCCAATCCAGCTCCCTGCTAATGTATCTGGGAAAGCAGAGGAAGATGGCCCAAGTGCTTGAGACCCTGCACCCATGTGGGACACCCAGAAGAAACCCTGACTCCAGGCCTTGGCCTGGCTTCTGGCCTTGGCTGTTGTGTGGCTATCTTTCAAATATATAAATATTTTTTAAAAAAAGTACAGCATAATCTTGCTAAGATGGTTTGAACTAAGGCACTGAAGAAAGGCATTAGGGGATAGTTTTATTTTATTTTTAAATATTTACTTATTTATGTGAAAGGCAGAGCTACAGAGAAAAAGAGAGGGGGGGGCAGAAACAGAGAGAGAAACCTTCCATTACTGGTTGACTCCCTAGATGGCCCCAACGGCTGAAACTGGGTTGATCCAAACTCAAGAGCTTCTTCTGGGTCTCTCACATGGGTGCTGGCTCCAGTTTTTGGGTCCATCTTCCACTGCCTTCTCAGGCACACTAGCAGGGAGCTAGGGGGGAAATGGAACAGCTGGGACTTGAACCAGCACCCATACAGGAGGCCAGTGCCATAGGCAGTGGCTTCACTTGCTACACCACAGGGCCAACCATTGTCTTTTTTTAAGATCTATTTTATTTATTTGAAAGGGAATTTCAGAGAGAGGTCTTCCATCCGCTGTTTCACTCCCCAAATGTGAGCAATGCCCAGAGCTGAGCTGACCGGAAGCCAGGGGGGGCCAGAAACTTCTTCCAGGTCTCCCACGCAGGTGCAGGGGCCCAAGGACTTGGGCCATCTTCTACTGCTTTCCCAGGCCATAGCAGAGAGCTGGATGGGAAGTGGAGCAGCCGAGACTCAAACCAGCGACCATATGGGATGCCAGCAGGCTAAGGCTTTAACCCACTGCACCACAGTGCTGGCCCCCATGCCCCCCAGCTTGTTTTTTTTTAACGTGAGAGGCAGACAAAGAGACAGAGTTCCCATCCACTAATTCACTCTCCCCAAATGCTTTTAATGGCTGGGTCTGGCCCAGGCCAAAGGTGGGAGCTGGGAACTCAATCCAAGTCCCCCAGGAGGGCAGCGTCACCACTGCCTCCCGGGTGCACGTGAGCAGGTACAGAGCTGGGACTCAGACCCAGGCACTCTGGTACAGGGTGCAGTCCTGCCTGGCAGGGACAGGTTTGACAAGGCAGAAAGGACTGGCCTTTGACTCATTTGGCTGGATGGTGGAGACTGGAGAAGTAAAAGGCAAAGATTACTGAGAGGACTGAATGAAATGCCAACTGGGGAACCCAGGAGAAAGAATTCCGTATAGTATTAATTTTCAGTGAAAATTTCAATGAAAACAAGTTTTCTAAAGCACAGATAAGTGGAAACAGACAGCTCAACAATCTGGACAGCCTAGTTAAAGGTAAAGACTATAGACTGTTATATGTGAGAATCTGTAACAATGGAGTGAATGAATTCACCCAGGGAGAACCAAAGAAGTTTTACAAAGCAATCTTGAGATATAATATTTATAGGGGAGGAAGAAAGAAGGACCAGTGAAGGAGACTGAGAGGAGTTAGGATAAGGAAAAACAGTGCCACTTGGAGAATACTTCAGAGAGTGGTTCACAGAGCCACGCCATTGAATTGTCATGTTAATGCTATGGAAAAGGTCGCAGGAATCAGGCTCCACCAGGCAACCTGGCACTGACTGCTCTATGGTAACAGTAAAGCAAGACACAAACACTGAAGACTGAGTGGGATGCAGGGGTGGCAAAGGGAAGGACTGAAAAATGGGTAGGAGATGGAGATGGACGCCAAGCAGAGGACAAGTTCAAAAGCAAAAGTGACTTAAGCATATTTACAAAGAGAAAAGAAGGAGTCACTGGAA